GAATTTAACTTGTAACTGAGATGTTACTATTTGTAGATCTCAGAACTGTTTTGGTACAGAAAATCGTGACAGTACATTATTATCTAGTTTATTGATTACATATTTTGACATGTAGATGATCAGATAATCAAAAGCAAATTGAAATTTGGAAGGGAGACACAGTGTGCCTGCAAATTTGACCAAGAATATCTGTATTATCGCGATCTTCCAAAAGGTCTTATTTTACCTTGTCTATAGTCATTCCTAGTGGAGGCACGGGGATCATGCTTTTGTTCTCCAGTATTCCTACCGGCAACACCATTACCGGAACAGTCTTACCCAGTTCAAAAGTCTTTACCGGCTGCGGCGATAGGATTCCGATGAATCTTCGCCTGGGAAGTTTCTCCATAGACATATTTTCGAACTTCAAAAGTATTGCCGATAACAATTCAGTATCATGTTGAATTTTGGCCAGAATATTGGGTAAACTTCTATGATCACTGTGACTTTCACCCGCTGGAAGTTCCTCGCTTGTAATGCCTCCGACCAAGGCAGAGTGTTCCTCAAGCTCTTTTTCTTGATAATAATCGGAAAATTGCTGATACAGACTAATAATTTGGATCTTGATGATCTCACTTTTTTCCTTTTTATTGAATAACCTATGGAATGGAATTAGTTTTCTATGTCCCACAAACCTCCCCAACCTACCCACTCGGATTGTAACCTAATTGGCGATGCAGAAAGTTGTACCGAATATGGACAACTGATGGAAAATAACACAAGAACTAATGGAATCCATAATCTTTTAAACGAGAGCAATTTTTTCTTTTGTTTTTGATCAACAAGTTTGCCACTTTTGGATTTCGACATCTCACTCTTCTGTTATATTTTTCCCCCTCGATCTGTATCTCTGTTTCTAGCGAGTGGTTCCTTGCAATAGCACAATTTAGAGCGAGATTATATAAGGGAGGAGTCGATTAGATAATAGTACTAATATCATTAATGAAAATAGTTGGTTGAGGATATTCATTTTTCCATTTTTACCTTCTAGCATTATTCTTTATATTGATGTATTGCTGTCGAAGTTATTTTAACTTAACATTCTTCTGCTAGGATTTGGTATTTAAGGAAAGCGTATCGGCTTGTGTTTAGTTTTGCTGAGGTTTTGTTTTTTTCTGCTAAATTTAATTAATAAAATTAAAAATTTTTCTGATAAAAAAAAAATTAATTTTTCCAATCTTAGATTGATTGCTTTGGTCCATAAACGGAGTCACGGATCTGGTCTAGACAAGTTTTTCCTTTTTCATTTATGCTATCATTCACATAAGTGAATGGCATACCAGTAAATATTGAGATGAGTGGTTTGACGCTTTTATCCTTCAGTGAACTGATTAAAATTTAATTTTAGTTGTATGAGTTGGGAATACCTACGGTTAATACTAAAAAAAATATAACTTAAACGCATTATACTCTAATAGATAAAGCTGCACTAGTATAATAATAATAAGAATGCCAAGTTCAATAATAAAAAAAAACAAGTTCTTCCATTTGAAATATATAAAATAATAATAATTCAAGGAGATTTAATTCTTATCACCAAAAAAATACCGATGACAGAGTTAATGAAATGAAATGAAAATAGATTATTAAAATTAAACAGAAAAGTTTGCATGCATCCAATGAATAATTTCAGAAAATTAAAAATAATGAACAAAAGATGGAACCCATTAGGATTATTGCTTGCTATAATTGATAACCTAAGGCCAATTTATATGTGTGTATATATATAGCCTTAATCACCAAAAAAAGTATGAATTTTTGCGTGTTTTTAAATTTAGCTAATACCTTTAATTTTATTAATTAATATTTGTATGTATTTATTTTTATTGTCAATTCTGGCATTCGTTTAGAGTCTGATTACGTGTGGTCAAGTGATATAGCTCCGTGAGCTAAGAAACCTACTTAGGGTTATTGACGGTGCGAGTTGCTCGCCTAGGATCCATCACGAGTCCATTAATTATGAAACATACCAAATTATTTCAAGCATCCGGTGAGATGTTGTCTCAACAGAGCAATCTTCTAACTTAGAAATTCTAAAAGCAAAGATAAATGGTCAAAGAATAGTCATATGAATGTGAGCTAATGTTAGTTCATCTTTCTTGACTTAGATCTCTCCTTGATTTGTCACGCTTGTACTAAATTTCTCAATGCATGGACATATTTAAAAAAAAATTAATTTCCATGAAATAAAGAAAGTCTAAGTTATAGGAGAACTTTTTCCTCCTTTCTTATTTTTCTTTTAAGGGAAACAATGTTAGCATTTTCAAGGGAAAGTTCTAGCGCCATTTCCTATGCCTGAACAAAGAACAATTTGTTTCTTTCTTTTTTGGAGGAACATCAACAAGAAATTTTGGACTTAATTACATCTTTTGCATATAAAATAAAAGAGGACGGCATGTCGTCAACTCATGGATAATTTCTTGAATAATAATCTATTTTTTTAATTAAACATCTTTATAATGTAACTTATAACAGTAGTAAGTAGATTTGTGAGTGAGGAGAAAATGAAAAAAATGCATCAAAACCACAGCAGTCTCAAGAGAGTAATTGTAAGAAATGGGTCAATTTATTCATCTCAATGCTCCAACGAGAGCAACAAAAGAAATCCATATTCTTATAATCAGGAAACAGATAATGCATATCTCATTAACCTGTTTGAGAAACTCCCAACTGAAAAGCAAGAGACAGTGATCAAACAACTGATTAAGGAAATTCCAGGTATTTCGATCCAGAAATTTTCAAATGAGAAAGAAGAGGATTACAGGCTTAGATGTTTCGCACAGCTTATTGTAAAACTTCCCAACGATGGTTTCTTCAAGAAGAAATTCGATTGTTTACATATATTAGTTGAAGTTTCTCAGCAACGACAACGTCCTATTGACAGAAAGCTTAAGCCTGTATCATCTCGAGACTCTTTTGCTATTTCAACAAGGAGTTGTTGCGCTTCTTTTACCTCAGCTCATAGCCATGATTATCAAGAATCTAATTTGAAACTTCAGCTCTTCAAAGTGAAATCTTTTGATTTGCGCGGTGGTGGCAAGGCAGGAGGAGGAGGAGGAGGGGTTGATGGATCATCAACAAACAGTACTAGCGGTACCAGTAGCAAGGGCTAATTAACTAGGTATGGTTCATGCATAGATACATATACAGTTTGATTGACAATTTGGCTTTCTAGAATTTGATCAATTTAGGGATTGATATTCTCTAGCATTTATTTCATAAAAAGTAAATACTACTAGATAAATTGCAACAATTAGGGATCATCACAATTTTATTTCTAGCATAGGTTCTCCTTCAACTAAATTCCATCTCTTTCTCTCTCTCTCTAATTTTGAAACTCTATCAAAGCATAAAACTATTTGCAATTTTGATTCTCGAAGCGCTTTTTTTCTCCTAAATCAGTGTTAATTCTTATATGATATTGTTTTTCTTTTTTTTCTTTGTTTCTTTTTTATATTAAGATGATTTAGAGATTCTATCAAAGACTCTTTTTGTTTTAGTAAATTAGTCCTGCAAAGAACTCTAGCTAGATATGCTTTCCAAATAAATATTACCAAATAATGAGAGTAGCTTTTGCTTTTTATGTGAATCGGTGGATCATTGTTTGCTAGCTTGTGATTTAGTATAAAATGTTTAGAACTCGATTCGCAGATGGTGGAATGTTTCTGCAGCTTTACCTAAGACATTTGTTCAATTAGGCTGATAATAGGAAAGCTTATTGAAAAATAATGGGTATAAGGCAGCTTAGATCTTGATTTTTTTTATTAGTTCTTGGACTTTGTGGCCTAGGAGAAATAAGGCAATTTTCAATTCAAGTATTTAGATTTGTGATGAAGTAGTAGACAGCCTAAAATTCAGAAGTTTCGAATTTTTAAAAGTCAAGTTTCCTTCTATTTCCTATGATGTGAGGGATTGGTACTATCAATCTCAAATTGTGTCATGTGATAGAGTTTTTATTAAGAAACTAAAATTTATTTTGAAAACTCAACTAGTTTGGGACCTCCTATTGGTAACAGATTTAAGTTCAATGTTGATGAAGTTTCTAGGGAAAAACCAGGTCCTGCTGGTTTAATTCTTACATATATATATAGAGAACAGAATCATTTTGCAAATTCATTGGCTAGAATCATTTTGCAAATTCGTTGGCTAAAAAGGGAGTTGAAACTCACGGAGATTTTCTTGCTTGGTTATAATGATGGAAGGAACAATATGTAAATCTTTTGGACTGCAATTTCTCAATATGATTGGTTGTGAAGAGACTTTGCAGCAAGTGGACTGTACCTGCATCTGGTTTTGTATGTTTTTTTATTGTTGCGACAATTTAATTATTAGTTTTATTAACAGTTTTGGATAATTTCTGATGTTTTCCGGTTTGATTTTTATGATATTTTGACTAGATGTTTTTTATTTAATTTATTCAGGTTAGATTATGTGTAAATGAGAGGTCTAATGACTTGGGATAGTATTTGGATAAAATAAGTTTTTCCTAGACAATATAATTCAATAAAAATTATTTTTGCTGATAAAAAAAAAAAAGACTCTTTTTGTTAATATATATTTTTGTACAATCAAGTGAATGAGAAATTTAGAAATAAATACCAAATTACTTTGTGAAATTATTGAAATTTCAAATGGATAATTATTTATGGGAAGTGGTAGCTGGAGCCTGAATGACTGGAGAACAAGCATATGTCCCTTACAAATTTTAATTAAAACAAAATTCTCTTTAACAAACAAATCAAAAATTTAAAGTTAAAAAAATTCAAATTTAAAATTTCAGTTCTAATCGCATGCTTAAACCTTTCAAAACAAATTTTCTAAAAATGTAAATATTTCTGAACTCTAATTTGGTAAAATGCATTAATTAGGAAATTCTTAAAAAAATGAAAAAATAAATTAAAGTAAAATTAAAATAAAACTTTATTTTAAATTCTCATTCACACATAAATTATTAATTAAAATTGATGAAAACAGGAGAAGACTAGCAGTCACTGTTATTCAATTACTGAAACAGTTGGACAAGTACAATAATATATGTCCTTTATTTGACGTAATACATATGCAATAATAATACTTAGTTCTGGATAAGGTTTCCAAAATTTGTTTGTCCAAAACTTGGAATATTGTAGATCTTCTTCTTCTTATACAGCAAAATTCCCATCTCTCCTATTATTTGATTAACGTTAGATATAATATCCTCCTTACCATCTTCCTTCTGCAATCTAACTTTTGTTTTAAAATTTCCCTTCTTATCAGCGTTTTGAATTCCTTCAGAAAGGTCACCCCAGTTGTTCTCACGAGTGATTATATCAAGCTTCGGTTTAAAACTTCCATCAATCTTATCTACTATCTTATTCTCAATAGACTTAAATCGGGCTGCTTCTGAAACCATCTGAATAATACAAACAAGAGACTTAGCAACGTCTTTTAACGCTGTCGATTTATGGAGTGTATAGATGTGAGAGTCTAATTGCCCGATTCCTAAATCTACTGATTCTCGATCTCCTCCTTGAGCTTTGAGAGAGTCGTAGCTACCTGTAATTTTTATGGCGGTTTGCTTTGTGTCTTTGAAAAGATGAGTTTGTGCATCCTTCAATTCAGTCGGATCGTTAAAGAAATAAGATTTATCTCCCACTTTATAAGCCAAAACATATGCATTAATAACATTTAATCCTAACGTGATTTCCTTCTTCCCTGAATTTATTATATTGACTAAAAGATATTTGGCTTCTTTTGAAGCTGTGGAGCGTAACACTGGTACTCCATTGCTAGTAGTGCCAGAAGACAATTTTTTTCGAAGATCTACCATAAGCTGCTTGTAGTCAGTCTTATCATCACCGGGGATACGAGTAATGGTAAAGCTTACAGAGGGAATTGCATCGGCTGTGTAGTTATGAATTGCAGATGGGTTAATAACCCTAGCCAATCCAAATATAATAGTCCAGCATAACCATGTTGCCACTACAAGCCAGACCTTCATATTTCCTTCCATATTTCACCTGTCAAAAATTATTACAAATGTTTATATCAACAAAAGATAGATAAGATAGTTACTTACAGATGAAGCATGTAATAAGACAACAAAAACAGTAGAAAATGCAGTAGAGATGTTCGGAAATATTTTGAGAAAAGCTTCATAAATACTTACAAAACAGAAAAGAAGCGAGGAAGAGATGGTTTCTCCTAGTGTTTCATATCATCTGCTTTTATAGGAGATTGGAACTGGTGCCATTCTCTCATCTCTCATTTTTTTAGTCATTTTATGAAATGGAGGCTGAATGATTACTAGAAAGTAATCTTGATGCCCATACACCAAGTGAATCCCATAAAGTTATTTTTTGTAATTGAGAATATATATTATTGTCTTTTTATTATTTTTGTTATAATGAATTTGTTAAAGTAAATACTGATTATTTTTTACCCTTTGTTATGCCTATATACATATTATATTTCAATTTCAGATTTAGTGATTTAATATTGAAGCGTCCATTCCATGGTTTACAAGACTCGACATGCCATTACAGCCTTTGGTTTACAAGACTCGACATACCATTACAGCCTTTTTTCTGAGACGATCAAAGGAAACTGTCCGCCTTTGCTTGTCATCTGGGAGGACAGGGAAATTTTTCCTCTTCATTCTAAAACGACAGATATTTTTCCCTTCTCTCGTATGAATATCAATTGACTCATCTGTGTCCCGCACGCACGACCAGTGTATCATAATTGACAGAAAATGAAGCTTCCTTAGTGAACTGCACCGACAACCTTTTTCCATGCCTCTACTTGCTCATCTGAGTAAATTAGGGATTATTTTTCTAATCCCTAATTTAATTACGGTGTTTATTGAAAAATTCAATTACCCAGCAGCAGTGTGATAAATAAGAGTACCTTCACTGATATGCCCACCAATCTGTACTATCCACAGTAATATATATTACAATGAAACCTGGGAACCAAGCCATCATTCTTGTTATTTAGGTTAGGGATCATTTGCTTTGTCATCTAATCATTGGAACAAGAATAACTCTACAGATAAATTTTGGGTTGTGTTATTTTTTTCTAGACTAAATCATTAAAAAAATTGTACTCTAAATCTAATTTTTTTAATCCTTATTACTCTAAATTTTAAATTTCAACTTTAATTACGATAGCATCCTATTTCAAATTGTACCAATTTAATGAATAAAATGTTATCTTTGTGGTACGCACACTCACCACTTATAAATAAATAAATATTTATATTTACTTATGTAAATATTAAAATAAAAAATATATATATTCATCTTAAAAAAAATACGTTTTATTTATTTATATAATATTGACAACAAGTAATTATTTCTTAAAAATAAAATGACCTCGTAACGAATAAAACCTATTTTTATAAGATATCTAACTTAAGTATAATTTCAACAAACCCTAACTAAAATTTCATGCTTAAAAAATGGCAAAACAAAAATCTAAACTAATATTCTCTACTAATAATTAACTAAAATATATTATTTTATTTGGCATTTTATGAATTTAAATTTCCAACCAATATTAGTTAGGATATTATTAAACTGTGAGTTTTTGGTTAAATTGACTATGAGAGAGGGTATAGATCCAACGAAAATAATATTTTATTTATTAAATTGGATACAATTAGAAATTAGAGTGCTATTGTAATTAAAGTTGAAGTTCAGGATACTAGAAGAATAAAGTTGAATTTATGGTACAATTAAAACTACCCGCAAAGTTTGATGTTATTAATGATTCATCCTTTTTTTTATTAATTATTTATTTTTGACATTTTGTTCAATTGATGTTTAATATCTAGGAGAGTAGCGCTATGCCAAACCAATTTAAAAAGAATTAAAATTTGTTACTGTTTTATGCTTTTTTTTTTTTTCCTTTTGGTGAATGATCAGAAATACTATTTTTGAAAAAAAAAAAAATTTGCGTTTCATTAGTTTGATATATGACATGGGTTCATACACCAAGTGTATTGTAACTAAGTCTTTCCCTTATTTTAATAAATTCATTGTTTTATTACTAATAAAAAATAACGTTGGAAATTATGAGATTATTACATTTGATGAATTAATGATTTCACGTACTTAAATTAAAGCTAAAAATTTATTTATTTATTTAATATGAATAATTATATAAACTTTCCTTTATTTTTTCATATCACCAAATAAACTAAATTGGGTCCTTTGTTTGCTTTGCTTTGCTTTATTCATTTTTGTAGCTAATATTTTAATAAATTTCATTGGTTTTATATTACTAATAAAAATAACGTTTGGAAAATTATGAGATTATTAAACTTTGATGAATTAATGATTTCATTCACGTACTTAAATTAAACTAAAAAATTTATTTATTTTATTTAATATGAATAATTATATAAACTTCTCCTTTTATTTTTTCATATCACCTAATAAACTAAATTGGGTTCCTTTGTTTGCTTGCTTTGGCTTTATTCATTTTTTGTAGCTAACCTTTATTCTTCTAATCAAATTAATGAACTATTTTTATACATTGCTTTGCTTTATTCATTTTTTGTAGCTAATTTATTCATTTTTGTAGCTAACCTTTTATTTTTAATATTTGCTTTTTCAGAATTTCACTTAGAGCAGAGATACAAGACAACAAAAGTTTAGAAAAATAGAAAAAAGAAATAAATTGAATGGATTTTATATTGATATCATTTTATTGATTAAAATAATTTATTGTAATTTTTTTGGATAAAATATTGTAGCCAAATTTACTTGATTTTAATTATTTTAATAGTTCAAATGCTGAATTGCAAATTTTTTTCTTTCAAACATTAAAATACAAAAAACCAAAATTCACATGCCATAAAACTACATTTCTTTTATCTAAACTAAATAGTTAGATTTTTTTTCTTTCAGGTTTTTCACAGCCTTTTGTTTTTAATGTTGTTTAGCAATAATTTTTGAAATAGTTTTTGGTGTTTTAATTATAATTAAAATTTTAATTATATATTTATATTATTCAATAAACAGCGTTCACACTAATATTTAAATTTGAGGGAGTACATCAAGTTATAATTTTTACCTAAAAATCTGTGGAATAACTGGCTAACAGCTATTAGATAGATTCATCAATTATCACTCTTGGAGAACGTGAAAAAAAAAAAACTATCACATCGCAATTCCAAGAAATACATCATAGCATGGATGTGGTCCATGTGGAGAGCTGAATAATGAAAAGAAGTTATATAAAAAGACAAATATAAAAAATGTCCGATTTTGTTACTTGGAGCTATGTCTACATTTGCACATGTATGTACATTTTATTGGTGTATACAAATAATTTAATCAAACGTGGATACCCGGCATGGTCACCGATTTTTAAATTGAAACTAAATTTCTATTGTGATAGATTGCAATCGGATTATTAAATTGCGGTTCAAAATTTTGAATCAGAATCAGAATCGTAATTTTGCATACTAGTTAAAATCCATATTAATAATAAAAAATGACATTTCAATCTAGTTCAAACTGAATTTTTATTAAGTCAATATATTTTAAATTTAAAAATTTTCTTAATAGCCTAGCTTATCCCTTCATTGTAAATTGTATTAAGGACATGTTAATATTTAGGTATTTATAATAATATTTGGAGGTCAATTCCATTTAAGTTAGGACCCTTTTTCCTAATCCTATGCTGATTTGGACAAATCAGCTAGAACTCTATAGATAGAATTCATCCTTTGTAAAAAGCATTCAACTCATAATAAAGATACTATTATTTGCTTAAATAGTCGCTCCAATTTTTCGGAAGGCTATCAATTATAATTTATTTAATTATTAAATAAAGTTAATGATTTTTTTTCCTTTTATAAGAATGAATACTCTACAATAAAATTTATTAATATTTTTTGAACTCTCAATAAATTTTTCCAGAAAATGTATCCGTCTAACTGGATTTACATTAATTTGGGTTGCTCTTAACTATTCAACACTATTCTTTAACTCTGCCCTTCAAAAAGGAATATTGGCTCTAATAATTCCATTTTTATCTGCCAAAAATAATAAGAACTTTCAAAAAGAATTATACATGCGACCATTGACGAGCCGGGGGACTCGGGGCAGTCGCCCCTGGCTTTGATAAAATTTTTTAAATGTGTTTGAAGTTAGTGATGAACTTCAGTGTCTTAGTGGTAGAATTCTGTTACTTAAGTTGCTAGACCTGAGTATTGAATCCTCACTCTATGTAATTTTTTATTTTTTTTACTTTAGTTTTATTACATAATTTTAGCTAGTAAAACAATTTTAGTTATTTTTTGCATAGATGTAAACAATTTTAAGTTATTTTTGCCATAGAATTTATATATTATATATATATATTATATATATATAAAAGATCTCACAATCTTCATAAATTATTTTTTCTCCCCATTGCAATGAACTTTTTGTTTTTGAAATGCAATCTCACAATCTTCATAAATTATTTTTTCTCCCCATTGAATGACTTTTTTTTGAAATGCAACTGTGTTTATATATTATTAGAATCAAACATGAGAGCATTCAATACAAATGGTGGAGGAGAATAGCCCCACTCCATCGAGCAAGAAACTCATTAAGAAGAGCTTTACATTTAGAAATAATAAACCCAAAATAGGAGACATCTATCTTAGGACTTTTCAATGCCTGGACTACCACCGTGCAATCTGTCTCTAACTGCAACACAATTTGCAAATAGCCCCAGCCCTTCAACCAACTCAACACTTCTCTTATCCCAATAGCCTCAGCCAGCAATGCATTGAAAATCCCAAAAATCTATAGCAGCTTACTACCTATATTGTATCCAGAAGCATCACACAAAAACCAGGCAACACTAGCATGTGAACTCTAGGCATGAAAAGCTGCATCCACATTACACTTGAGAATAGCCCCCACTAGGTGGCCTCCATTTAACTAGGAAAGGGACTGACACTACACGTGAAACAACCTTAGACTATTGAGCCAATACCCATTCTTGAACCATCTAGTTTGCACGATAAACATAGTCTTGGACATTGATATTGCCCTCTTCCTAAACCACCTTATTCTGACACAACCAAATATTGATAATACTACAAAATATGCATGTATTTTATCATTTGTTTCAATTACATTTAGTTGCATTTTGAATATTAAAATAAGAATAAAACTTCATTTTGCATAGTTTTCTCTCTTTTATTATTGGCACGTGAGCAACATGAACATTTGCTATTATTGAGCAAAAATAGAACAATTGAAACCATTTGGCACCTAATCAATGCAAAGAAAGTCCTTAAAACCTTGTTGCCTATGAAGTCCAAATGATGCTCTTAAAAGCCAAGCAAATCCAAGGTCCAACGCATAATCAGCCCAAAGAGAATGAAAGAAAGAGAGTTGATCAATGTGGAAGAACCTAGACGAAGGCAGAAACAACCTTTGAAATGATCTTCTGACAGATTACTTGGACCAAAACTACAGCATTTTTGAAGAAGCATTGTACCTGGTTATTGGATGCAGCTTCTCTTAATTATTTTAAAGTTTATTTCCAAAAGTTGGCGATGGAGATAACTTTTCAATAGCAAGTTGTGCAAGTGGAGAGCTGTGTGATGTGGGCCAATAGGAGCTAAGCAAAGAATCTATATAAGGAGCAAAGAAAGGATTTTTAGACGTTACACTCCTTTGGCACTTGTTGCTGCGCATGAAAATAAGGAGTGAGCCAATCAGAGTATTCAACAAAAATAGGAGAGGGAGTCGTAGCTTTAGTCACTAGTATTACTTTAGCACAAAAGAGAGTAACAGAAAGGTCTGTTCATCAAAGCTTGGGACATGAGCACCGTGGTCAACCAACCAAATAAACCCCAAAGTTTATTATTTATGCTTTTTATTTCTTTTTTGTATTTTATTTTGATTAATACATTTACAATAATGCTTGGTTAATATTTGGATCTAGTTATGAGATTTATCTATTAATTTAAAATACAATTTTGAATAGTTTGATTATATCTAAATGCTTAAATTCCTGATATATTGTGTTTGAGCTTAATGCTTATGAATGTGTTGGGCTCCATATTTGCATGATTTTAGATCTGTTTGAATAAAATTGAGAGAATGAAAAACTATATTGAATCCCACATATTAAGCCTAGAATTTTAGATCTAGAGATAGGCTAAGCTCTCTGAGGGAAAAAGAATTAACATTGGCTTGATGAGTGTTAATATATAATAATAAAATAAGTTAAAATAATAATATTAGATTCCTAAATAAACTCAAATTAACAAGTAATATATGAGTCATAATCCTTATCCTAACAAAACGATCCTAGATCCAGTATATATACTCCAAATTTACCCTAAGGACGGGTTAATGTTTCACAATTTACTCAATCCATATTTCTAAGAGCTTAACAATTGGTGTGGTGAACATGGAATATACCTACAACCTAAAAAAATTCCCATAGTTTTTCCCGATTCCCATGGCCACCAATCCCAATGAGCTCCTCAACCTTGAAGGCCAAAACAACACCCATGACGAAGCTAACCAACAATCCCCGTTCGTCCTTCCACCAACCACTGATCCCTAGGTAGTAGTTGCTTTAGCCCAAGCTTATTCCCAATTCACCACCGTGTTGAAATGCTTTTGGAGAACTCTCAGCTTAGCGGCGAAACAATACCACCTCCTAAGTTGGTGAACCCTCCACACTAAGAACATAGCTTAACCCCAACTTCGCCTAAACACCAAAATCACTCAATATCTAATTAATACCATGAGGTGGAGTCAGAGGTGGCCCCTAATATGACTATCCCCAATAGCCAAGGACTAAGTCGCACCCAACCAATTGTGGACAAAGAAAATCTCCAAGATGTTGTCAAGGAGCTAGTTCGGGAGTGTAGAGAGACAGGAGTGATATGTGCATAAATTGGCACTTTTATTCTTAATATTTTTAGTATTTTTGAGTTGTTTTCAAGATTAAATCAGTTGGTTGAACAATTTTTATCAATTAGACATGATCTAAGTTTTTTTTTGAATAATACCATTTAATTGAGGAATTTTCAGCATTGTTAATATTTTGACTATTGTTTGCTTCTTTAGGCATAACTGAATGTATAGATGTTCAAATTGATTGATTTGTGATTCATTGGAAAGATAGAAAGGAGCTCTACAAATTTCTAATAGGAGGCAAGATTCAATTCAGCCTTGAGGAATTTCAGCAATTGTTAATTATTGAACTATTGGTTTGCTTTCTTGTAGGCCATAACTGAATGAATATGATTGTTTCGAAATTGATAATTTGAATTTGGTGATTCCCAAGTTGGAAAGATAAAAGGCAGCTTCTTAACAAAATTTCTAATAGGACAGGCAAGATGTCAAATTCTAGCCTCGAAATTCATCAAAAAGAAGCTTCTAGAAATCTCGATATCAAATGTTTATTGAATGATACATCCATGAAGGGGTTTTATTTGTTTAATGTATCATTATCTGGAGCCCTTCCAAGAGCAATGAATTAGCTCAATCCTGGCCCCCATTTGAAAAATCTTAGAAGATGCCCTAAATCATTCTGTTGTAAGACCAATCTAAATTGAATGTTGAGGTTCCCCGGTTTTTGATTATCAAAAAACGCCTATTAATAATATTCACGTTTGTAGCAATAATATTCTCCATTCAACTCTGTATTGGTTTTTAGGCTCCCAGATTCTCTTTCGCTGTGAAGTGGGTCTGTTTGTTTGGCGATCCTTTAGTTCGTTGAAAGATGAAAGAAAAAGGTAAGATTCTTAACAAGTTTGTTGGTAATGGTATATGTGCCAGAAATCAGATTCGAAAAGGAAGTTTCTGCCCCTTTTAATAAAGTAGTGCCATAAGAAATTCTTTATTGTTCTTGATTTCCCCTCCTCTCCATTTTGCAGATATAATTTTCTCTCCAAGGTATGTGTTTAAATGAGCTAGTTTCTGGTGAGTGTAGAGAGGATAGGGAGAAACAGGAGATTTATGTGTACGTCTGATTAGAACTCAACCCCTGAAGGAGATCTACAAGTTTGTTGAAGAAGTCAGAATCAGATTCGAAAAGGAAGTTGCTGTAAAAATAGTCAATAGAAATCTTTATTGTTCTGATTTCCCTCCCATTTTGCAGAAAATCTCCAGGATGTTGTCAAGGAGCTAGTTCGGGAGTGTAGAGAGATAGGAGAAACAGGAGATTATGGACTCTGATAGAACTCACCCTTATCAGCTGATATTTTGGTTGCAGCCTTTTCACCAAAGTTAAAGCTTCCTACTTTCCAATCCTATGACGGATCTACCGATCCCAAGAGCCATCTGGTGACCTTTTGAACTATGATGTATTTGCAACCAATTCGGAGGATCTAATGTGTAAGGTCTTCCCAACTACCCTAAAAGGGGTAGCCCAAGAATGGTACCAAACACTTAAGACAAGGCCCATTCATTCTTTGTCTCAGTTGGCATAGCATTCTAAGCCCGTTTTATAACATGTGTACCATCCAAGAAAATATCATCTGACTTGGTGGATTTAAAAAGAGAGAAGGGAGAGATCCTAAGGTAGTATGTATCCAAATTTCAAAGAATGACAATGCAAGTAGAGAACTTGAATAATGAGGTAGCCGTTAGCGCCATAGCAAAAAATTGCAGGTACAGCAGATTGTTTGAAAGTTTGAGTATGGACCCTCCCTTGACTTTCACCGAGCTTATGGCGCGAGCCCACAAACACAAAGGACCCTCACCCATCACTCTATCACGATCCACAGAATGCATAAACAGGATTATGAAACCATTATTACCCAGATCCTTCATCAGCATTATTACCCACAACTAATTTTTCAAAAATTTTAGATCAAATTTCGAAGAAAACTTCTATTTTTGATTGGCCTGGCACTAACTCTTTGATATATTTCTTGCTACGTATGGTTAAAACCGTGACTTGAACCATGTTGAAATCGGCCTGAATTGAAACTGAATCGAAATTAACAGTTTTATGATTCATATTCAACATTTTAAAAATTTTGAACAACTTCATTGCCTACTTATAATATATAAGATAACACTCTCTTATTTCAATAAATATATGTATTTTGACTTAAATGAAAAAAGAAATTTCAATTTCAAAAATAAAAATTCCAAGTGTTACCGCCACACTACTACTTATTACTTGAATACTTCCTCAGCTTGTACGGACGTGTATATATGCCAGGGTGTGCGCTTCACTTTAGCTTTCAAAATTCTTCATTCCAAGTCTTTGACTTCTCCCGAAGAGTTTTTCAAACTTTTTGTAACCAAAAATCCTAACTTTTCATAAGAATCATCAAAGCATTTAATCAATAAACTAAAACAAAAATTAATTAAATATATACTGAAAATTCTAAAAACTAAAATAAAAATAAAAAGATTTACCTAGTTGTAGTTAATGTGGTGCCTCCATTTTCCAAATATAGGCCTTTTTCCAAATTAATTGATGCCGTTTAAACAATTAATTTTATCTTCACTTTCCTAATATATCCATATATTAATATCAAATGTCACTTCCAATAAAAAATTGAATAGAAAAATTATTGACAATAATCATATTAAATTATATTGTAGAATTAAAAAAAAAAATATTACTTCTCATGTTCCAAAAAATAAGTTATTTTAGGATGCTTATTTTATCTAAAATTTAAGTCGTTTTGAGTATTTTAGAAAGTAATAAATGATATTTTTTCAATTTTTCTCTTATTTCTTAGATACAATAATTATCTTTGCAACTTATATTTGGTTTTGAGACAAAAAATAGATTGGTCAAATTATACTTAATTTTATTATAATTGAGGAGAATTAATTGTTTCTTTAATTCTCGCATAAAATCTTTAAAAAATTATATTTTGTAACAGAGAGAGTAGTACTTTTAGAAATAAATATGGCTTAAAACTTTAAAAGAAAACAAATTTATTTTGTAAGATGGGAAAATGTTTTATTTATTATTTCAAATTTTCATTTATCCATATGGATCCTCAAATAAATTATTAAATATGGATCAAATATGGAAATTGATAAAAATAAGAGAAAGAGACCTGGTAGGCAACAATGCATGCACATTACTAAAACTAATGGCCAACAACAATAATAAGGTATGTCCTTTATTTGACGTGACTTATGTAATAATAATTAAAGCCGAGGCAGCAAGTTGATTTGGTTGAGGATAAGGTTTCCAATTCCAAATATTGTTTGTTCAAAGCTTGGAATGTAGCTTTTCTTCTTTACATACAACAAAACTCCCATCTCTACTATTATTTCATCAACCTTAGAAATAACCTTCGCTGAACTATCTTCGTTTTGCAATCGAACTGTCGTTTTGAACTTTCCATTTTTGTCAGCATTTTCAATTCCTTCTGAAAGGCCTCCCCAGTTGTTCTCGCGACTGATTACATCAAGTTTGGGCGTAAAACCTCCCTCAACTTCATCTATTATTTTCTTCTCAATGTATTTAAATCGGGCAGCTTCTGAAACCATTTGAATAATGCAAACAAGAGGCTTAGCAATGTCTTTTAACGCTGTCGATTTATGGAGTGTGTAAATGTGAGAGTCTAATTGCCCAATTCCTATATCCATTGTTTCTCGATCTCCTCCTTGAGCTTTGAGAGAGTCGTAGCTACCTGTCATTTTTATGGTGTTTTGCTTTGTGTCTTTGAAAAGATAAGTTTGTGCGTCCTTCAATTCTGTTGGATCGTTAAAGAAATAGGAATTATCTCCCACTTTATAGGCCAAAACATATGCGTTAATAACATTTAATCCTAATGTGATTTCCTTATTTCCTGTATTTATTATATTGACTAAAAGATATTTGGCTTCTTTTGAAGCTGTGGTGCGTAAAACTGGTACTCCGTTGCTGGTTGTACCGGAAGCCAACTTGTTTCGAAGATCGACCATAAGTTGTTTGTAGCCAGTCTTATCATCATCGGGGATACGACTAATAGTAAAGCTTACAGAGGGAATTGCATCGACTGTATGGTTATGGATTGCCAATGGGCAAATAAACCTAGCCAATCCAAAAATAACAGTCCAGCTCAACCATGTCGCCACCACAACCCAGACCTTCATCTTTCCTTCCATATTTCACCTGTCAAAAATCATTAGAGATGTTTATACCAACAAAAGATAGGTAACTTAATTACTTTAAAATGAAGCATGTAATGAGGCAACAAAAACAGTAGAAAATGCAGAAGCTTCATAATTACTTACAAAGTAAGGAATAGATGGTTTCTTTTAAGTGTTGCATATCATCTGCTTTTATAGAAGATAGTCCATTTGCTCCTCTCTCCATTTTAGAGATTTTTTTTTTTTTTTTTTTTAAGTCAATTTATTCCTGGCGGCTAAATAATTAGTTGAAAAGAATCTTGATGCCTGGTTGTAATATGTAAGAACACAAATAAGACTGGTTTTGTTTGCCAAATGGGATAAGAGAGGGATGGAACATTAGTTATCTTTATTTTACTTTAATTTATTGCATAGATTTGATTAAATTTAATATTGTTTCTGTTCATATATACATATAAACTAGTTCTGTACCTATGCGATGTGCGGATTGTATAATTTTCTATTTTTTTATTTAAATTGAATGTAATTTTCAAGAAAATTATTTTAATTTATATTTGTGTTGCTTTATTTAAATAGTTTGCTTATCTATTTTTTATTAAATGATGAAAGGTAAAATTATAGATTCTTTTTATAGACTGGTTTTTTGGTTGCCAAAAGTGTGGAATGTAGATGAGGGAACTGGAAACGATTTAGTTTATTGCTTTCTTATTTGTACTTAATTATTGCATAGAAATTTGGATTTAAATTTAATTGTTTTCTTGTTCCTATTATTACAATAAACTAGTTCTTGTACCTGAATTGTCCGATTGTGCGGATTGGTATAATTTTCTTAATTTTTTTATTTAAATTTAAATGAATTTTCAAGAAAATATTTTCAATTTATATTTAGGTTTGCTTTTATTTAAATAGTTTTGCTTATCTATTTTTATAAATGATGAAAGGTAAAAAATTATAGATTTTTTTTTTAAATTCTTGAAAAATATTGAACTGAAATTATTAAATTAAACAAGCTCAAATAATTATGTAAACAGCAATTATTTGCTATCAATTGGCAGAATTTAGTTAGTAATTATTATTTTTTTTCTCTTTTAAATTCCCTCATAAATATTCAAATTCAATGAAGTATAGAGAAATATTTTATCTTTAAATTCATTTTTGTTTTAATGATATTACAATTATTTAATTAATTTTTTTTTGACTCTATTAGTTTTTTTCTTGATAGAAATAACAAAAACTATTTATAAAAATTTTATATTTATATATTAATTAAGTTAATAAGAAATCTTATCTTAATTTAAATTGTGAACTGCTTTATTTAATAAAGAACAATTAATTTTTATTTAAAATAAAAGATAAATAATTAATGAAAATAAAATGCATTACTTTCATATTCCAACATGTGCCCCATAAATATTTAGACCTTTAAATAAAACTATTTAATAAAAAATTTTATATTTATTATATATTAAGTATAATGAAATCTTATTAATTTAATTGTAACTCTATTATTTAATAAAGAACAATTAATTTTTATTTAAATATAAAAGATAATAATTATAATGAAAAAATAAAATGTCATTACTTTCATATTCTAACATGTTGCCCCATAAATATTTAGACCTTATAAATTATATGTTTATATAAATCATTTTAGATGAAATATTAATTTATTAATAATGGTATAAAAATCTTAAAGTGACATATATATATAGAAAAAATAGTATATCATTTTTCCAAAAATTAAGATAAACAAAAGACAAAGGCAGCTGTTGAAAGGGTGCATATTAATGGGAAAACGAAGGTGAAATAGAAAAGTCCAAATCTCAAATTGCAATTATGAAGATACAACAATTATACTTCATCCAAACTTATTTGGGAAAAGATAAAAATCTTGCAGATAACAAGAGTGTGTGTGGTGCATAATTGTTCAAAAAAGTAAAGGAAAATGGAAAGAGATGTTACATTTTCGATATCCATATAATCCCTTTTGCTTTTATATATGTAAATTAATTAGCTTGATTCAATTGATTGAACAGTTTTTCATGTTTTTTTTTTTTTGTGTTTATTTCATGTAATTTTGCAATTTTACCGTGTATCTTCGTAGGCAAATCGAATCGACTTGGCCAGACTGTATCAATTGTATTGGAGGTAGATAAACAGATCCCGAACAGGAAAGGCATGCACTTCCCTCCTTGAGTACCTCCACCGCTGATGAATGGACCTAGTCCAGCATACACTATGAGTAGCTATGTACCTGGATGCACGGATATGTGAAAGTTAATAGATTGAGGTTCCTGCTGACTAAAGCATCCATTATTTGATTTTATGAATCTGCTGCTTTTATGATAATTTTTTTTTTTTTTTTTTAAACTTTTTGATTTATGAGAGATGCATGTCAATGAGTAGATATTTTTAGGGGAGTTGACGCTAATCCCTGCCACTTATTTCTCTGGGTTTCAGGTAGAGGATGCCAGTTCAAAATCCAACACCTCATTCCTCCACTGCGGTTTGTGTTTAGTGAATTCAGATTTTCTTATTACTTTTTAAATAAATTAGATGTTCCACAATCACTTAATCTATATATGATAAATATGTCAACTGAAGATTGTTACTTCATGGCTTTAGAGCCTTGAATATGACATGGTGAATGCTATATGATGTATGAAATCGAAAGAAAAATCAATTTCACCGATGGTAATGGGTTAGCGGCCCGTAACTGTTGCATGATAATATTGATATATACGAGCCTGAGGTCCAATATGGATATTCATTGTTATCAAGGTTAGATGGAGGCTTACACGGAACTTGGAGCCTTAACCCTATTCAAGTCTTAGTGCAGGTCCGCCTCAAGGTGATGGATGGTGACATAGCACAATATAGTTCATTCATTCTACAAGAAATCCTAAATTGGAAAGTGTACTTAAGAAAATGACAGATGTCAAAGTAACTAGCTAGACAAACTATCTAAAATACAAACATGTCATACAACAAGAATCTAAAATACAAATATCATCATCTATTGAATAATCTCCACAATTGCATACTTGTCCAAATAAAAAACAAATCAAATAAAAAAGCAAATCAAATACTCGATATGAAATAGAGAGATCACAAACTTTATACAAGATGAAAATAAACCACAAGAAAATAATGAACAAAATAAATAAAAATATTAACTAAACTCAAATATGCATAGATCTTAAATTTATTTGATAAAAAACATAAAAATTTGCAAAAAGAAGAAAAGAAGAGAGGGCTATCATAAAAGATAAGAATTAATCTCTTCCTCATATTTACATGTTTGATTTTTAGACTTTAACAACGGAGAAAAAGAAAACAATTTAATGGAGAAAAAGGAGAAAAGAGAAAGCCGCTCTATCTGAATTTAATTTGCTTCATATGACTAGGTGAGAACTAATCAATTTGTTTCTTAATTTAATTATAAATGTATATTAACTTAATTTAATTTTAATAAAATTTTTTAATTTAATTTAATTTCAAATGTAATTAAATATGACTTAATTATTATATAGTGTGACTTAATTCATTTTCAAGTGTGACCTAAACCATAAAGTGACTTAATTTGTCTCTAGGTATGACTTATATAACAATCCAATTCTGACTTCTAGTGTGACTCGTGCAGAATATGTATGGATAGAAAATTAACACTCGTAAGCCACTAAATCCCACATCTGTAAGCCATTATACAAATGTGTGCCTTAATCACAATCTCTATAATCATACAACCAGACCACGTTGTAAGCTGATATGATTAATATCCAGTGAATTCTAGCATAACGTGGAGTATAGGGAACGTGACTTTTGAGTTTAACAAAAAAAAAAAAAGATTAGTAGTTGTCTTAGTCATTGGCGTGATTGTCTTCCTCCAGGATTATAGGCTGTGCATGACAATAAAATCCAATTTAAGGCAGCCTAGAAAATGGACACAACGGGTTGTTATCGTAAAGGACAGAACCTGAATCAAGCAGGTGAATGATTAACGTTTTTATTATTAGGTCATCATTTCAGATGGTGTGACTTTTGATTGATGATATGATAAGTGATAAAAAAATTAAATAATTTTTTTTGTTGTTGTAATCAGTCCAGCTCTTTTAACCATAAAAGCACAGTACATGAGACGTGGAAAAATTGTGAGCCACAAAAAGTCGACACACCCTAATCTTGGGAGTAAAATTTCCGCCATAAAATGAATTAGTCTGTTGACAACAAATGTATACTACTTAATGTAATGATTTAATTATTTGGACAATAATAAGATATAATATTTTAATATCATAAATATGAAATAGGATGAATTGAACAAAATATTTATTGTCTTAAATATTTAACCCACTACAGCGCACAACTCTTCTTGAACTTAAACGAAAGTTTCATTTTTTCAATTCGTCATGTCTTATTCTTATCCTTAGGTCTATTCAATAAAATTAGTTGTTAACTGAATCAATAGTCTTTAGTTTTTTATAAAATATTAAAAGCAAAATATTACATGAGTTCAACTGCTATCTTAATCTAGAAAGTTAATTCAAATACCATCTTACCAAAAATTATAAAAAATTACTTTAATTCAAAACACTAAAAGCTATTGAAACGTTTGGTGTGTAACAGGTACGAACCTGTCTTTTACTTTTTAAACGGGTAACCGATGATAAAGTAGAGAGTCAAGAAAAATCAAGTGAATGATAATGTTAGTTTATGTGGAGTCAACCTAGCAAGAGTGATAGAGCAATAGAAAAAGCAACAAATAAATAATAGGAAAGTTTGCGTTCATGCATTGATGATACAAAATATGTGCATTGAAATACAAAATATGGATTGTCTAAGGAAGAGAGAATGAAATTTTATAATTTTATAATTGTCTTACTCATTTAATTTAAAACTATCTTTTTTTAATAATAATAATCAATAATTTTTCTTATTCACGCTCTTTATGAAATATAGACTTTTATCAAATTAAATATTGAAATAAAGATAAATACAATGGCTATTATAGAAAATAAAAAATTATTCATTTTTTAAATGATCAAATGTTTATTATTTATTAAATTATTTATATTTATTATTGTTAGATTTGCTTAGTTGAAAAGTGCAAGAGAATATATCAAAGAGCTTCTTATTTTTGATAGATTCTCTTTTTTACTAACAAAATGGAACTTAAGGCGAAGAGGGATTGAGCTTGATCAAGAGGAAAGTGTTATTTTTGATTGAGTTTGATTTGGATGGCTTATATAACTCGTTTGATGATTGGTTGAAAA